CCCCCAAACCCCAAAACCCCAAAACCCCGCTTGGTTAGATTTTTGAGATGACTATTTTTAATTATTTAGAGCAATAATATTTAGACTTAATAGTAGCATTATAATTAATGGCTTTAGTCGAAGACAACATATTAGGTATAAATATTTTGATTACTTTATACTTTCACTAGGAACTAATAAAGACCTATTTTTTATTTAAAGTCCCTAGGAGTAATTTAAGAGTTAGAGCATAGAGACTCCAAATTTAAGAATGACTTAGCACAGTTCTGACCTAAGCAAAAACAGGAAGACAGCTTAATTCTTGATATCCTCTTAAGCTAGTGATAACCAATATCACTTGAGAAAATAAGATAAATCTAGTATGCTTGATTATCAATAATAAGACCTTGTAATTATATGATACATATAATAAATATATAGCATCTAATAGCAAGAATAGATGTCTTAGAGAAGGAGATGAAGTCTCTGATAGAAAGAAATAATGAATTACAACAAATAGTCAAGTATTTTCAGGCAAACTTAAGCAGGTTATGTAAGATTCTACACCTAATTAATTTCACTAATTGCTTTTATAGCTCTCTAAATTGATTCTGATATGTCAATTGCCTTGAATAATTTCAGAGGCAGTTCCTATTAAAAAGTAGTAACTCAGAATGATTATTAGTTTTTGGACTAGTCGCGTAACTTTAGTTATAACACTGACAATGATTTTTTGAATCCTCATTAGAAGAAGGAGGGTAGAGCTGATCTCATGAATTATCTAGGCTCAATTGAGGAGGAAGAAATACAGTAAAATAGAGATTCTGTATGCGAGCCACCTATCTCTGAAAATCGTATTCCTCCAAAACAGAAAAATAACTATCATGAGGATCTGATGCGGAATCTTGAGTATCAAATAACTAAAGTATTCAAGTTGATTAATTCTAAATTTACCGCCAACAACAGATTGAATGTTAGTCTTGAGGAAAGGAAACGAGACACAATGGGTTCAAAAGGCAATAAATTTAGCGGGGCTAGAAGAAGTTAAACGCCTCATCACTTTGAAAGGAATAAATTATTGGTGCTTAAGGATAGTTTTAATAATGGAGGTGGAGGCACCGGTAGCGCTTCAGGACTTAACTAGTATTTTGTAAACAATCATAATTTTGCTGGAGTTAGACAATCCAACGCTAGTATTAAAAATATTTAGACAAATTTTGGAATGAGTCCCAATTCTCCAACGATGAATAATCTACTTGGAAATGAACATCAGAATAATTAAGTTTATTATGCTACAAGTGATATCAGCAGAGAGGAAAATAATGATAATAATAGCTAGAAGTTGCATTTCTAAAATAGTAAAAAAATAGATTAAAAATCTAAGCATCGAATTCAATCTACTTAAGAGAGAAATTATTCATCTGTTCCCAGAGATTCAAGAAAATTTCACCCTCAAAATAAAGTGGCTAATCATTCCTAACTTTTGAGTACAAATTATCAGAATGAGTTGCATAGTTTTAATGACATCTCTGGAACTGTAACTAAGTAGTATAATTCTCATAATAGAAGTGGAGGATAAAGCTACACCAATTTACCTAACCTTGATTAAACTCAAGGAAGCGGCTTGCCTATTTTCGATGAACCAATGAAATGGATGCCTAATGAAAAATCCTCAACCTGCCAGTTATGCCAGAAAATCTTTAATATCTTCAGAAGAAAGCATCACTGCAGAGGTTGTGGAAGCCTTATTTGCAGCAAATGCTCGCCTGATAAAGATTATGTAGCTGGCTATAAGGATAAAAAAGTAAGGATCTGTAAAAATTGTGATTTAACAAGACAGAGAAGAAAAACTGAGACTGGTAAGTTAAATGTTTTCACTTCAGCAAAGACTATCTCAAAGAAAAAATGATCAAAGCAGTAGTATAATTTACTGTTCTCTGATTGAGATGCTTAAAACATCCATATCATCAAATATGATTTATATTAAAGACAAAGTTTATTTAAATAATCTTTACTTAGATCTCTAATTTCTTCTGTGGGGTTTTGGGGTTTTGGGGTTTTGGGG